CCATCGGTTTGGGTCATGATAGACTGTCGGATAATACTAAGACACATACAGTCTGGAAAATAACTAATAATATCTATAGGAAGATAGGAAGGAGATGAGCAGGGCTGCGATCGCTATGCAGCTACCTTGCTAACTCCACAGATCCGCGACAGATGAAGTCAACACTTGCTAGCACGTCCAGCAACCCTTGGATCTACACACAAGATGCAGGGAGTAATGTGAGTACGCCAACTCAGTAAGTAATAAAAGTAAATAAAGACTGAGCAGTAGTGACGAGCAATAAAACATATGCAGTTCATATTATGAAATCAGAGTAGAATACAACACACTTTTAAAATCAGGGTTTTGAATCAACTCAGCTCATTTAAATCCAGTTTCAGTTAAACCATTTAAAACATCTTTCAATAGTTTACAAACAGAGGCTCAGTGCAACAGTGAGCAAAAATGATGAAAATATAAACAGCCCCTCGAGCAAAACATCACTCGGGAACAGCCCCTCGGGCAAACATGAATCATAAATAGCCCCTCGGGCAAACCTCACAGTCACTCATATACAGCCCCTCGGGCATACCTCACAATCACTCGTAAATAGCCCCTCGGGCACAACATGAATCAAGAACAGCCCATCGGGCAAAACATCATATCACTCATAAAGGGTACTTGCGCTCACTGGAGGTGTGCAGACTCCGGAGGGGCTCCTACAGCCCAAGCGCTATAACAAGCCACCTCGTGGCATAAATCAATCAGGCCCTCGGCCTCACATAATTATGAATCAGTAACAACCTGCTGTGGCGCGTAGCCCGATCCAATAGTATCCTCACATAGCAGGCCCTCGACCTCACTCAGTCCTAAACCTCTCAAGCCACTCGTGCTATCAGTAAAGAACATGGTGCTCAACCCAAAATAACATTTTATATGCATCAAAATGGGTAATAAAGACTGAGTTATGAAATCAGTAAAGCATAACATGACTGAGTATAGATTTTTAATCAAAACGGTGAGAGGATAATAAAAGAAGGCCCCTAAGGGTCCAAACAGCTCTGGCACAAGGCCTAAATATGGCGTTCAACCCAATTTATAGAAATTCTTTCTAAGACACATAAGTATCATATAGTTTCAGTCAAATACGCAACTTTATAGTAGCTATGGGATGGACCAAGTCACAATCCCCAACGGTGCTCGTCCACACACCCGTCACCTAGCATGTGCGTTACCTTAAAGTAGTAAAACCATGCGAAATTCGGGGTTTCATACCCTCAGGACTAGATTTACAATCATTACTTACCTCAAACCGGTCAAACATCTACTCCGATGCTCCTTCCCCTCGATTCGGCCTCCAATCGCTCCGAATCTATTCACAACTAGAATAATAACATCAACATATGCTAAAGGAATGAATTCCACAAGAAAAACTACCAAAATAGATGCAAATCCCGAAATTGGCTCAAATCCGGCCCTTGAGATCACATCTCAGAATCCAACAAAAGTTACAAAACTAGAAAGCTCATTCACTCACGAGTCTACCCATACCAATTTCATCAAAATCCGACATCATTTGGTCCCTCAAATCCTCAAATCACGCTCTCCAATTTTTCAAGCCTTAACCCCTCATTTTCATCCCAAATCTCCATTAATTACATGATTAAACAAAGAAAAATTACCATAAATATGCGTATTAGGGCTCAAGTAACTTACCTCAATGAAAATCGCCTTGAATCCCTCTTCAAATCACTCCCAAAAGCCCCAAAATCGAATAAAAATGGTGAAGAATAAACCAAAATTCGTGAAGTGTGCAATATATACCTTCTGCCCAGGTTTTTTGCACCTGCGATCTATTTCTCGTGCCTGCGTGACCGCACCTGCGGTCAAGGCGCCGCACCTGCGCATTTCACTTAAGTCTCCATCTTCCGCACCTGCACCCCAGGGCTCGCAGGTGCGGCCAAGCCTGCGCACCTGCCCTTCAGTCTCAGCTACCAAAATCCCGCATCTGCGCACCTTCCCTCCGCGCCTACGACCTCGTACCTGCGGCTCTCTTTCCGCAGGTGCGGAAAACACCAGAAGTTCCAAAAACCAGCAGAAACCAGCTATCTTCGCAACACCAAAATCAATCCATTAGCCACCTGAAATACACCCGAGGCCCTCGGGACCTCAACCAACAATACCAACAAGTCACATATCAATATACGAATTTAGTCGAACCTTCGGAACACTCAAAACAACATTAAAACACCAAATCACTTTCGGATTCAAGCCTAAGAACTTCTAAACTTCCAAATTCCACAAACGATGCTGAAACCTATCAAACCTCATTCGAATGACCTCAAATTTTGCACACACATCAAAAATGATACCACGAACCTACCCCAACTTTTGAAATTCCATTCCAACTCCAATATCAAAATTTCCACTGTCGACTGAAAATCGCCAAATTTCCAATTTCCACCACAGACCTCCAAGTCACATTTCGAACACGCTCCCAAGTCCAAAATTACCTAACGGAGCTAACCAAATTATAAATAATTCAAATCCGAGATCGAATACTAAAAAGTCAAAACTTGGTCAAACCTTTCAAATTTAAAGCTTCAAGCTGAGAATTATTCTTCCATATCTAGTCCGATTAATCTGAAAACCAAAACCGACGATTAACATAAGTCAAAATACATCATACAGGGCTAGACATGCCCGAGAACTGGCGAGTGAAGTGCAACTCAAAACGACTGGTCGAGTCGTTATAGTTTATCACCTTATTTCAGATTATTTGGTTTCTATTGTTATCATTTGATTTGAATTATTAAAATTGGTTAATAAATATAGCTAACGTTATCTTGTCTAGCAAGTGAAATTCTTAAACGCCATCATAATCCGAAATCTCGAGGGTGAGAAATTCGGATCGTGACACAAACAATAGTAATTTAGCGTTCTATGCCGTCTATATAGGAAGAGGAAGAACAGACTAGAAACAAAAGCTTAAAAAGATTAACAAGGCAAGATTTTGATATAATAAATATAAAATAGAACTTTCAAGTTATGGCTCCACAAAAGCTTGTGTTAAAGGGAATGAAAAAATAAAGCTATTCAAATCAAATCCCCTCAATTATTTTTAATCGTGAGGCCAATTAAAGGAAGGCAAAAATGTGACACTCTAGATGAATTCCACACCGACAAAACACGGGAGAAATATTGGGTATATAAGTAAACAACCCTTAGACTTTAGTAATGCGTTTTAAAGCCATGCAGGTCTAAGTCTAAAACAGACAATATCACTAGTGAGATAAGCCGTTACATATCGCGGGAGAGATGCTGAGTATATAATTAACCAAACCTTAAATCCCAATGATGTTTTTAAAGTCATATGGGTCTAAATTCAAAACGAACAATATCACTAATGAGTTGGGCTGTTACAGAATTACAGAAAGAAAGAAAGAAAGAAAACAATGAATGGGTTCTCTACATATTAGGATACAATTCCATAGAAGGCACCAAAGATTTGTATATCTCATGCATCAATCTGTTCTCAAACTCTGTATTTGTATAACCAACTTGAACTTGTCGAGCCTTGGGAATCCTTTTACCACCAAATACATTTCCATTGCTTAAGTAACTGACATTTCCGGACAAGTTAAGCATCATATTGATATAGGCATTCTTCAACTTTTTCCATAATTTCAATGGGGAAAACATCTTCATTTTCAACTTTGGGACTGCTTTAATCTTCCATATTGCTCTCTTCCCACCAAACCTTGTAACTTTCATGTTATTCCTTCCAACACCATCCAGATGATGATATTTTCTTCTTCTCCATTGCTTGTTTAAGTTTCTAAGGAATATTTTTTTAAGCAATTCCATCCCCTCTACCTGTATTTGTGATTGTGCTTATGTTTGTGATCGAGAGAGGTAATTAAGGGATGATATATACAACTATACAAGGAAAGAATGAGATTTTTTGTTTATATAAGCAAACTTTTGTGTAATAGAAGCAAGAAATATTTAATAAGTTAATTATTGTAGTATTGTATGTAGTGAGGAAAATGAGACATCAAAAGGAGTCAGGTCAGCAGGTCAACAATGCCGGTAGCAGAATTCAATGATAAACGACTAATTAAAACGATAAGTATATATATATATATATATATACATATATATATATATATATATATATATATATAGTCAAACCTCATAATAATCTCGTTTTTTGACTTTTTTTCCTTCGAAATACTGCTATAGAAAATATATATTATAATATAACATAAAAATTTATTTTAAAGAAAACTTAACTATTATAATAAAGTATTTTTATAGATGATAATTGTTATAGAAAAATTTGACTGTAATAGAAAATAATTAATGTAAAGAGCAGGAGGAAATTACTTAAGACAGAACCTGCGTGGAAGTTTGACCATATTTATAAAAGAAAGAAATGCGCCTTGGCTGGAGCTTGACCCTCAAGCGTCACGGTCTCAATCAGTCCAAATTGGTTGCTCAGGCCATGCCCTCTGTTTCTGAAAAAATATATATATACTCCCTAATATATTTAAAATTGATATTTCTTTCGTTTTATTTTAGATGACACTAATATTTTTTGGAGGGTCAAACAATTTTTACTTTAACCACAACGTATGCAAAAGAGAAGTCTATAAAACAATTCTCCTATTGATCTGCCTCCAGTTTCCTACTGAACTAGTGTACATGAAATACAATGTAACATGCCATCATTGCCATGCATATGTTATAAAATTTACACGTAACAACTTCTATATTTGTCATCAAATTTCGTATTTATGCTTTCTGCAATGTTAATATGAATATTTCCTTTTTTTTTAATTTAACTATATAATAAGTAAAACATGTCTGGACGACGAAGGGTAAATTCGGAAATTTATATTAATAATATCCCTTGCGTGTTACTGTTGTAAATTCCCACGTGTCCTCGTTGAAATCAAAATTGTCCCTTTTCTTTCTTTCGCTCATTTGACATTTACCGCTGGTCTCTATTTCTCCATTTTCTCTTCAGCCCTAATTCCCACTCTTTTTCACTTTTAAGCCACCATTTCCCCCCTTTTCATTGTGCTTGAAAATTCGTTGCTTTCTCTTCCATTTTTTCACTTTATGTTGTTCTAATCGCATATGGTTCGATTGCTTGTCCTGTGGTTGCTTCTACTGTTGTACGTTTGTGGTAATTTTCTTTCTAATCTATTTCTTGTCTTGCTTGGTGTATTGATTTGTACATGCATGTATCTATAATCGACTGGTGACTAATGTAACACTTTTATGTTATCAAACGATTTGTTCATCAACTGAAATTATTAATGATTTGTTCTTTGTTTTTGGTGTCCTAATTTGGTTTCGGTGTTTTTGATATTTTATGATTACATATTGCTGTCTGTCTTTCTCCATGTTTTTTGTGGCATGTGATTTCTGTTACACAAATTTGTTTAATCTTTAGTTTCTTGTCAGCTTCTTTTCATTTCTCTTTTAAATCTTACATGATATGAGCACCACTGATGCCTATAAAATGTTAGTAGATAAAATCTCTTGAAGGAAATAAGACTCTCCACGACATGTTTCTTCCCGAAAAAGCATTAACTAATTTTTTTGGTTTTATGTTCCATTGCTATTTAACATTTATTAGACAGGTTGCAGCATTGAAGCAGCTACCTAGGTCCAGGACCTGATCAATTCTTGTACTGGAGATATAAGACTAATAAAAATCTCTCATCACTTGCACTAACAGTTGCAGAAGACCCCAATAGGTAAGAATGGTTTTATGAATCTTCTTTTTTTCCCTCGAGGGTCATCAAAAGGCATTGCAACCTTTAAGAGTGCCATCACTCTTGATATTTTTACCTTGCTTTTATATGGTCCGAATAGAAAGTAGATACAAAACATTCTTGGTTTTGCGTGGCAAGTTTTAGACCTTGTGACGCTGCATTCTTCAACTTATACATACTTTCTCTCAAAGAACTGATAAGTAAAAATTGATTCTCTATGCATGCATGTGTGTCTCTTACTTGGTTCTTTTGTTCAGAAAGTGCAAGCAAATGTAGTAAAGAGCAACTAATTCTTTCAGTTCCGCAAGATTATGGGGCTCTAAAACAGGTAATAATTTCTTTTCACCTTTCTCGGAAAGCAACATTTTCCTCCTTTTTTTATATTTCCTTCCACTTATTAGTATTGTTTATATGTAACTCTTAAATGATATACTTTGATGATGATGCATGAGCAGTTGTTTGAAGAATTAAAGAATAACTTAAAGTTCATAGAGGCTGATATCCAGGAGGTTCAGGAAAGGCAAAACAAAAAGAATACTTCTTGGTCCATTAATCATAGAATTGTCCATTAATTACTTTAAAAAATTTAACAAGTAGGAATTTAGCAGTTTCTATATAGCTTTCAGGTATACGCTACAAATATCTAAGCTGCAGTTGAGTTGAAGCATAAATAGCTGCAAAATATTCGCAGTTTTCAAGCTAAATTGTATGCACAATTTGGAAGTAATAATCTATAGCTAATTTATAACTTTCAACTATGTTAAGTCAATTGCGTACATGCATAGGCTTTGCTCCATTATTGGAGTGAACTACATGTTATACGTACTATTAAAATGGAAATTTAGTCTCAGAAGTGCCCATTATACGACCTATTCGAATCAACATATGTTTTAGACAACTCAAAATTTACTTTATGCCAAACAAGTTCTAATTAAAGATAAAAGTTAGTGATAAAAAAATACTTTGTTTTTTCTAAGTCTTCTTATCCAAGTCTTTATTGCTAAAGCACTTATCAAAAAGTCTTTGCTGCTATGACACTTACTGAAAAGTCTTTACTGCGAAGGGCCGAAGGCTTGCATATGTAGCGTAATAGACATAAATGTAGTAAGATTAGAGAGGAATAAGGGGCGGTTTTCTTTGCAAGCATGTGGCAGACAAAATTCGTATATATCCCAGTTGAATTTTTTATTGCATCCCTTAAAAAATCTCCTACCGACTTATGGGATTGAAAGTTAGATCCAATGAGATATCTTAACCATAATGAAAAATAAAGTTCATCCTCAGCTTATTAGAACTTTGGAGCATTAATCCAGCTTAAAATGACCAATAAATTTTTATTGTAAAGTTAGTAATCGTTCGAGAGATGATGGTTTTATGAAGTGATAACCGATTATGCTGAGAAAACAAGAAACTCCACCAAGAATAGAAATGTAAAGGAAAGATAAGCGGCAGGAAAAAACAAGCTTATGATGTAATGAAAATTAGAAGATTATACAAATAAAATTTTGTGGATAACAATTACTTGAACACTGAGAGGAAAGGTAATTATTTGTGGGGTTTTCTCCCTGTCATATTGAACCTTAGTATACCGTGTCCTCGTAAACTTAGCTATATTGTGCATTAACTATTAATGAATAAATTAAGAATAACTAATTTGCAGATTTGCAGTATGAGAACCAAATTACGGGAAAAATGCTTTTGAAGATTCAATCCATTATACTTTCATACATTGGTGAATCTGAAGAAATACAATGCTCTAATTCATTTTATTTCCCTTCTATCAAATTTACATAATCACGATTCCTTCATTTTTTTGCTGTTTGCTTCTTTCCTTACACTGGTTTCTCTGCTTTTTCTTTTATGTTCTTTATCCGCCTTTGTCTTTGTTCTTGTTTTGGTTGTGGATACTTTTCTGCTTCCATAAATTATTGAATGCACGTAAGTTCTTTTACAATTTAATTTCATGAATGAATTTGAGATTTTAGCATAGGGTTTGAAATTGAGGTTGTGAACCTTCAGTTAAACTTTCATTTCAGAGATGGTTCAACGATTGAAAGGTTTCTAGATGCGCATTGGTATTTGCACGATCAAGAGGAAAAAACGGGAAAGACCTTTAATGGAGAAGCTATTTGATAGTGATTTGTAGGTGACTCATATTTAAGAGGTAAGAGATAAACTTATTTTTGTGGTTACTTTAATTGTACTTATGGATGGACCTGATGTAACGACCCGACCGGTCGTTTCATGAGTTACCACTTTGTTTCCCTATTTCTGCTTCTTATTGCTTTGTTTATCAGTATTATGTGTTATTGGGTTAGTTGGCTCGGGTTCGGAAAGGTTTTGGCAATGTTTGAGATACTTAGTCTTTTTTGAGTGAACTTAAGTTGGAAAAGTGAACCGAATGTTAACTTATGTGAAGAAGGGCTCGGATGTAAATTTCGATGGTTCAGACATCTTCGGGAGGTGGTTTGGGACTTAGGAGTGTGATCGGAACATATTTTGGAGGTCTGTAGTAGAGGTAGGCTTGAATTGGCGAAATTGGAATTTTGGCATTTTCCGGTTGATAGGGGAGATTTTGATATAGGGGTCAGAATGGAATTCCGGAAGTTGGAGTAGGTCCGTAGTATCATTTGGGATGTGTGTGCAAAATTTCAGGTCATTCGGATGTGGTTTGATAGACTTTTTGATCGAAAGCGGAATTTGGGAGTTTTGGAATTCTTAGGCTTGAATCCGATGCAAATTTCGTGTTTTGATGTTTTTTTGAGCGTTCCGAAGGTTGGAACAAGTTTGAATGATGTTATGGGATATTTTGGCATGTTTGATTAAGGTCCCGAGGGCCTCGGGTGAGTTTCGGGTGGTTAAACGGACTATTTCATATTGGAGGAAATTGCAGAAAAACTACTGTTGGTGTTGCAGGTTTTAACCTTCGCGTTCGCGATGCATGTCCTGCATTTGCGAAGGGTTTGGCTGTGAGGCAGTGGAATTTTTTCACTCCCCAACTTCGGTAGACGCGATCGGCGCTCAATCGAGTGAACCCAACTGAGCAAGCATTATCAAACACTTTCTACCCAACTCAATATGAATAAGGAAACCATACTTTCATTTATTTAGACAATAGGAAAGGTAGTACATTCAACACAGTTAGTTCATTTTATATCACAACCTTAAACCGTAGTTAAGTTTTTAAGATTCCATACAATTACACTTTAGAGAAGCGAGAGCTAGAATTACAACATGGTTCGTAGACCCATCAAACACCCGTACATAACCCACACATATGTTTACGGAGCCTCTAAGGATACAAAAGACAAGTATAACAACGCCGGTAACAAGGCTCTGGCAATACCTCAAAAGTGAAAGTCCACAACAAAAGATGTACAATACAACCCCTTGAAGGAGAAAGGGGCGCACCAAGACTTTGAGAAGAAGGTACTCCGCTACGCGCGATTGGCACTATCCGCAATGGAGCCACCTACATTCATTTAAAAAAAATATAGCGCCCCCGACAAAAGGGACGTTAGTACCATGGAATAGTACTAGTGTGTATAACTAAACACCTTCTAGTTAGAAAGAACTTTCATACCAAACATAAGGAAATCACAAGTATAACTCAAAAGTTTCAAACAATCACAACATTATCAAGGAAAAGAATCATACAATTTTCACTTTAGTTTGGGGTATTTTATATTGTTTATCATTGTTCACAATACTACCGCTAGCTTGAGCGGAGTCCGATCTCGACCTGATCAGCTAGGTTGCCTCACTTGAGACATACTCTTCAATCACAATCCCATTTTCCCTTTTTATCCGGGATTGAATATCAACACAATACCACCATGTGCACGACATGGCGTCCGATCTCATTCCGATCTGATAGGCCACCTTACCAAGGCGTTTCCCTTTTTCATCAATCATGTCAACTCAATCTTTGTTTCACATATGTCATTTCATAGGCACTTGGGGCCACAACTATCACGTCATATATTTGGCACTAGGCCACATTTCACATCATTCCCAATTTCAATGTTAAATTTGTAATTTAGGATAACATGTGCACACAAGAGCAAATAAAATTGTAAGCATAGATGAGACTTCGCATAGAGGACACAACATATGCAGCTTCAATCTCAATTTAAGATCTAAGCATTTCAGTACATGATTCATACTCCTTGCACCCTTTCAAGTTATCAGGAATAGCACATTTATCATATTGAGACACATCTTTCATGCATATAAGGTCGCAACCCCAAATTCATGTGAAACAACAATCAACACAACAATTCAACTTTGATCCTACCGTATTTACACAAACACCGATGGAGCTCAATTTCTAAAAGACGGGGTTTTAGCCATATATACCTTGTTTAAGCTTTCCTTAAGTTACTACGACATTCCGGAAATTCTAGCAATCCCAATCTACTTTGAGACATAACAAAATTGAACACAAATTAGGAGGGTATTCATGGTTTCAGCTCATTTGAGCATTTTATCAAATACTAGTCGAGCATCTTGATTTCAAATTTCTTTTACAAGATTTCCTTCATTCCCCAACCCAATCTTTACTTATTTATGTTCAACAATCTTCCCACAAACCTAATTTGTACATACATGTATACATAATACTATTACACCCAAGAATCATACCTCAATAACCCATCTCACAATCTCTACAACACCAACACAACCTAGGTTAGACACCTATGGCTTCCAATCACCATCCCATGAGTTCTAACGTATATATCTTACATAAATAATCACCATAGAGTAGTTAGAGATGATAGACATACCTCTTGTAGTAAGAATCTTGAGAATCCCCACTTGTAGTGTTCTTGATCAATTTAGGGATTTGAATGGGAATCTATGGATTTTCAAGATCAATCCTTGTAAATATAAGTGTTTAGGAGTAGTAATCAACTCAAAATACTCCAAAAACACTACCTTGAATCATAGGAGGGAAGTATGAGATGGATTCCCCTTGATAGAGCAAGCCCTAACTCAAAACAATGACTTAAAGACTCTCTATACTCGGTCTTGGGGTATTTATAGGGCTGCTAGGCGTGCGACCGCAGTCAAACTGCGCCCAGGACGCAGTGGTTGCGCTTGGGCCGCGCTCGGAGGCAGAAACTATCAGTTTTCCCGCGGACGCGCATCTGACACAGGTCCGGTAAAATGGTCATAATGTTCTGTATACACCTCCAAATGTCAAATGGTTTGATGAGTTGGAAACTACACTCAAAGAGATTTAATTTGATAGGTTGTGCATCACACAAAACCTTATATAAATGGAGATATGCTTGTCCAAAGTGAGGTCTTGTGCGTACTCATTTACAACTTTAGTCTATTATGAAATTTTTCAACTTGGCTTAGACTTAGGCCTCTCCTTAGACCCCAAATCACTTATAATATGACTTATACGCTTATTAATACATCCAATTGATATCCATTATATCATGAATCCTCATTTGCACACAAGATAAAATAATTAGCTTACCTTGGCACCACGAAATCTTAAATTACTTAGCAAAATTTTCTGGGGCTTTACATTCTCCGTCGCTTAAGATCATTCGTCCTCGAATGAGGATCATGGTTCATTCATTAGCCATCCTTATGTAACTTCAACTTTTTCACATCATGAAATATATCAACAGCCCCGAATTTGGTTAACTCCTTAAATTTCTGAAAATTTCACTAGAGTTTCTTTTGTAACTAGGCCTACCACCTGTTAGAGGGCCCCAGATACATATCCTAATAGCATATACATGTTCCGTAGACATAACATAACTTGTACAACACCAACCATGGCCGCATAGGCAACATATATAATCAAAATGGAATAGTTTAACATAGATCAAATCAAAAGATAAGAGTTCATAGGACCCAAATGCATAAAAGCTATTACATGATTATTCAAACAAATGTGGGTACTTCTTTCTCATTTCTTCCTCGGCTTCCCAAGTGGATTCCTCAACCTGCTGGTTCCCCCATAACACTTTTATGGAGGCAATTTTCTTATTTCTCAATTTCTGGACTTGCCTATCAAGAATGACAACTGGAATTTCTTCATAAGATAGTACTTTACTAACCTCAATAGTTTCAACTAGCACAATAGTGGACAGATCTCCCACTACCTTCTTCAACATAGACACATGGAAGACCGGATGTACCAATGACATCTCAGGTGGCAGCTCGAGCTTGTATTCCACCTGACCAATCCTCTGAATGATTCTGTACGGTCCGACATACCTCGGACTTAATTTCCCTTTTTTCCCAAATCACATGATGCCTTTCATGGGGGAAACCTTCAAAAATACCCAATCATTTTCTTTGAACTCTAAATCTCTGCGACGAATGTCCGAATAAGACTATTGATGACTCTGAGCAGTTTTCAACCTCTCTTTAATAATCTCGACTTTCTCCATAGCCTGATGCACGAGGTCCAGCCTTATCAATTCAGCTTCTCCAATCTCGAACCACCCAATGGGTTAACTACATCTCCTACCATACAACACCTCAAATGGTTCCATCTGGATACTAGCATGAAAGTTGTTGTTGTAAGCAAATTCTATGAGTGGAAAATGGTCATCCCAACTACCTTTGAAATCAAGAGTACAATCACGCAACATGTCCTCAAGCGTCTGAATAGTCCGCTCTGCTTGCCCGTCGATTTGAGCATGGAAAGTTGTGCTAAGATTTACCTACGTACTCAAACCTTGCTGAAATTTCTTCCAAAAGTTGGCAGTGAAATGAGCCCCTCGATCTGAAATGATTGAGACTGGAGTGCCATGCAACCTGACTATTTCTTTGATATACAACTGAGCATATTGTTCCGTTGTGTTGGTAGATTTAACTGGCAAGAAGTGCGCCGATTTCGTGAGTCGGTCCACAATCATCCAAATTGAGTCAAACTTGCGCAGAGTGCGCGACAACCTTACCACAAAATCCCTGTTGATCATCTCCCATTTCCACATTGGAATTTCTATTCTTTGAGCCAATCGACCAGGTCTTTGATGTTCGGCCTTCACTTGCTGACAGTTCGGACATCTAGCCACAAAGTCCGCCACATCCCTTTTCATGTTATTCCACCAATAAACTTCCCTGAGATCATGATACATTTTCGTAGAACCTGGGTGCATGGA